AACAAATAATAAAACCAGCTAAATCGATGCTATCATCCACCCACAAATAAAAAGCCCAACATAAACAGTATAGGCACAACGAATAAACTATCTCCGACAAATTCCTTATTTCCCACAAAAGGAATAACATGCGGGAATCTGCATGTCAGAGCACCAACATCACATCTCTTACTTAGAGCTTCATTGAAACTATCTATAGTAAAAGCTACCTCGAAGCCAACAAAAGCAAGAGAACCCTCCTGCAACCTAGAAAGCAACCCATCATCGACACCAACTGAGTTCACCGCTCCACCACCGGCCCAAGAGCCATCAAAGCACACTCTGTCTTCTTCAAGAACCACCGAAAGAAATATAAAGGAAAAAAACCCTACCCTTAATGATAACAGAGCAAATCTTAGGAACCACCGAAGCCCAATGTACTACCAGAAGCAAACTGGCGTCAACAAAACGGACTCTAAAACTTGTTTCTTCATGGATTGAAAGAACAGAACCCCACAAGATCCCTAAGTCGAAGATAAAAAAAATGAACCACACTAACAATGGAACATCTATGAAAATAACCCATATTTTCATTAAGATTCTCTGCTCAAACCCTTCTAAAAATTCCAGATCGAGAAAATAGGTTCAAAACCAATCAACTCTGCTGTTCCAGCACGCCATACGCTCCAAAGCCCCATTAAACTGGATAACCACTAGCAGAACGAGCCTAAAACTAACCCTTACATCAAACCCTTCTGCTTGAAAAGCAGTGTAAAAGACATCCTCGATATACAACCTAATTCTTTTAGCAACCAGACAACACTCTCTCCACCGTAGTTCAAACTTACAAACCACTCTAAAAAACCCTGCAATATAACTAATCCGACTAGAGAAAGGGGAGCGAGCTTTTGAAATACTGACAAGGAGCAAAGCACCCGGATCTATAATCCTACAATGCTGATTCGCTGAAACAAATTCCTGTGACCGACCACACACGTCATTCCGACCATCCAAAGCAACCTTGAAAGACCTGGAAACTCTTATAGCCGGATTCCACACCCTTTTCACCGAGTTACAAGAAACAAATCTGAATTTTTTTTATTCCGAAGATATAACAAGAAAAACTTTAATTTTATACCCCTCCAACAACCTCCCATCTGCCCACCAAACCGCAAAACTGGCTTCATGCTTGCTGCTGAACCTAACAAACGCAAATATAGATCCAACACAAAGTCTCCTTATGCTTCTAAATGCAATGAACACGAACAACACTGAACCATACAGTCCATACTCCATGAACTCTTCCTAAGACGTAGACGGGAGAAGCATCTGAGCAATCAACCAGAGCGACGGAGGCAGATGGGAGAAAACAAAGCTTTACGTTTGTTTCTCTCTCTAGGCAACATCCTTCCCAATGTTTCGATATACTTTCAAAGCATATCTATTTGAGCTTGCTTATCCGAAAATGGTTTTTGCAGTGCCTAATTTATGTTATCCTTTAAAAAGAAAAATTATATTATTCGAATTTAGAGATGAATGAATGATAAAATATAGTTCGGAGACGGGTTTAAAAGATCATTAATTAGCATGAGACTGAATTGGTAGGTAAATGTGATGACCATTGATATAGTTTAAAAGATTGGTTGCTTATTTGCTGAGGTGAATGCTACTCTTCTTTCATTCTCAGTGATTTGCTTCAAACCCTATTAGAATATCAGGTAGTTGACGTTTGCAACCAAAGATGGACTTAGTTTTGAATGGTTGGATTTTTAGCGTTGTTTAGATATACCATAATTACATTATTTAGATATACAAAGCAGGGAGAAAATCACCATTTTCAAACCCTCTTCTTTTTTCCATATGAATTTTTCACCATGATTTTGAGAAGAAAAATTATTTCTATGAATTTAAATTACTATATTTTTTTTTCATGATTTGGCATATTAAATCATCATAACTGTTGACTTTTCTTTTTTTTCCCATAATAAATTTACCATTTTCTTCTCGACATCATCCCTCCAATCTATGAATCATGTTTCTCATGAGAAGGTGATGTTGGTGGGGATTTAGGGGAGGGGAGGGTGTAACTCCCTAAACCCAATTCGACTAACAATGAATTTACAATGTCACATTGGGTCCAAAAGTGACCCGAAGCCATATTTCATCTTCTTTGTTCAATGGTAAATCAACACACATTTACATAAAAGACATGCTTATAGTATAAAGTTTTTAAACCAGTGTATTACAAAATACGGAGGAACTCCGATCCAGTGCGGATGCACTAAGCCTCAATAGGGGCCAAGTGCATCTTCATTATTTTGGAAATGTGGTTAAATTTAGCTTAATGTGTTAAGGAAAAAAGAAAAAAATTATAATTTTTGCATACCCATTATTTTTAAGGAAAAAAAATAAAATTTTGGACCCCCATTTTTAAATTTATGGATCCGCCACTACTCCGATCCATATACTTTGATAACAAAATAAAATATAGTTCAAGCATATTCAGACTTAAGACTAACATAATCGGGTTCACATGAATACATATAATCCTTTTCAGGATTTCAGTATTATACTCTGAATATGAAATGCTGGAATCCATTCGTGATGGTGTCGCCTAAAAAGAATAATCTATTATCTACTACTTGAAAATAGTAACAATCGAATAATCAGCCACGAGAGCTGAATAGTGCACAACTATTCTAAGTAATTCACAAGGAACACAATTATAGACAATGTGAGTGGAAAGTGCACAAGATGTATCAAAAGTTCAAAACTAAATGTCATTCGTATCGCCAATTAAAAAATACCAATTGTATTTGTATTTGTGACTGGCTCAGTATTCCCATACGAGTCGCCTTATTCATAAAAACTATGACGCTCCCATATGAGTCATCTGATTTAATAATATCTTGGTATTCCTATACGAGTCACGAGGTATAATAGTATTTAGATACTTTCGTGCGAATCACTTGAAATAATAACAGTTCAATGCTCTCATGCGAGTTACAAAATATAATAATGATTGGATACTCTCATACGGGTTACCATAAATATTGGTTGATAACACTTGTAAATAATCAATTGTTCAATTATTAAAGAGAGGTTCATTTCTTACTTTTTCTAGTCTTAATATCGTACAACGTTGAGAATGGTTCTCCGTCCCTTTGAATATCGAAATGTCTCAATAATCTTAAGAGCTCAAGAAGTATCAATACTCTTTCCTGATTACTGATTCTATCCTTCATTATTACTAATATCCTATAGGGGGTATCCATACAAAAAATTACCTTAAAGTTACCACAATATTCCTTTGGTATCGATACTACCTCACTAGTACTGATACTTTTCATATGTAGTATATATCAATACCCTCTTATGATATTGATACTAAAATTAACCTCGATGTTTGAATAAATTTTCATTATACCGACATTATCCATTTGATATCGATATCACATGAACAATATCGATATTGTAATGAACAATACCGATACGTTAAGACAATTTACCTCAAGTTCTTTAAGAATTCAATTGATATCAATATTGTTCATACAATATTGATATCACAATCTAGACTTTGAAGTTTAAGGCATATGGAGCCTTCTAATCATGTCTCAAATCGGTCCATTTGACCCTTAAATAATCTCTTAAGGAAGGGACACTCATACATCGACTAACATCACTAATAATAACTTCGACGCAAATTTCATCATTTATGACTAAATTGAGTCCTAGGATCATTTACACTTAGACATAATTTTTACTTATAAAAGGTTAACTTTATGGTTCACATAAATGCACTAAGAACAGATGTACATTACCTTTACTCAAAACAATAAGAAATAAAGCTCTTTTGGCTCCCCGATTAAATTTTTTCCGGTCCCTTAGCTTGAGGTGGTTCTCATCTCATCTTTCAGCGGCGGATGCACTAAGCCCTCTAGGAGCTAAGTGCATCCCCATTATTCTAAAAAATAATTAATTTAGTTTAATGTGTTAAGAAAAAATATAAAAAATTATATACCCATTATTTTTAAGGAACAAAATTAAAATTTTGGACCTTTATTCTTAAATTTCTGGGTTCGTCACTCTCTCCTGTGTTACGATGAAACATTCAAAGAGTATATCAGATAACCATGGAGGTTGAAGGGTGGTTAAGTCACAACTCAAATCTCACCATCTCTCTTCATGAAACCTTCCTCGTCCAAACCCTCTCCCAAAACCCTAATTCACCATTCCCTTTTTCTATAGTAATGTGCATCTTAAAATGTAGTTTAGTTGGTGCTAAGTAGAGTGCTTACTTTGAAAACTTTAGTTTGGCCAACACAAAATCAAAGGAGGAATTAATTACCGATTAGTCCTGATCACAAAAGGGCCCTAAGTTTAACTTAGAACTGATATATTCTTTAATTAATTTAGTTTTTCTCAAAATTTAATGGTAGGTGAACAAAATAAAGAGGAATTAATCACCGATCAGTCATAATCACAAACGTAATGCAAGATAATAGCTGCTATTTATCAATTTTTTATGGCTTAACTTAAAAATAAGTACACAAACTATACATAAAGTTAGCTTTATTAGGTGACTAAAGAATTTTTCGTTAAAAATATGTGATTAATATTTTTAACGTTATACTTTTAGGTGCCTGGACTGTTAATACGTTAAATTCGACCGTTACGTGACACGTGTCAGACATATAAAAGTTTAAAATTTTAAAATAAAATTTTAAAACTCTTATAAGTCTGACACATGTCACTTAATGGCCAAATTTAATGACAAACATATAAAAGTATAATGTTGGAAACATTATATACCTATTTTTAATGACTTTAGGTATAGATTGAGAACTTATTTTTGCATTAAGCCATTTTTTTATTTTATAAATTATATTAAGAGTTTTGACCCGCAAATTCATAATTATCAAGTCGGATTTAATTTAATTTTACTAATAAATGTTAAAATAAAATCTTTCTCATATTTTTACGAGGCTGAAATAAAATTAAATGGTTTGATCTGTGGGAAAATGAAGACTTTTTATGTGATTAAGCATAATCAAATAGTAATCAAAACCCGAATTTTGAAATTTGGATCTGAGGTTTAGGGTTCCACAAAATTAAAATCGTTTAAATTTCGTCACGATCGTTGAGAAGAGCTTCGATCTTTAGCTTTTCAATTTGGAGGGAAAATCCAAACGGAGCTCGACTTGAAGGTTCTTTCTCTCTTTTTGTCTGTTTAATTCTGTTTATATGTTTATCATGTCAATGGAATGGTTTGTCCAGGAAATTGAACTGCAATAATGTTTTTTTAAGCTATTGATTGTTCTGGTAATTTGCTTGAATATATGTGTGTGTATATATATATATATTAAATTCTTATTTTCGTTTCCTTTGATCTTTCGGGAAACAATACGAGTGGAACTAGAAGCTGTTACAGTTATTATTTGTTGTTAATCATTCTGTTTTGTTATCTTAAAATTGGTGGTTTTTTGAGCTTATTGAAATTTATTGGTGTATAGGCTAGATAAATTATCCTTCAGGTTATGATAAAGCTAATGACATGATCTGTAATTATGTATATAGGAATCTTTATCAAGTTTTAATTTCTTGGAAAGAAATGAGCACTATGATTAATAGAACTCCAAAATCGGGGAGACAATCGTTGTTTTTCCAAGACTTGGCTTCATCGGTCTCTTCCAGGCAAGGGAAATTCTTTAGTCCAGGTCAAGCAGCAGCAGTCTCGGCTTTACGGGGAGAGAATTCTGGTGGCTCGAATCTTCCGCCTCCTCCTATGTACACCTTGGAGGACCGTGCAGATATTTCGCCTGAATACAGGGGATTGGATTATCCTATTTCTCCTGAAAACAAGTCGGATCCAAGAACTCCGGTCCAAAGCTCTGGACGTGACTTCTCTACTCCTGCAAAGAGCAAGTCAGGGGCCAACACTTCATTTGCTGTACTTAATGGACAGCATAGTCAGCAGGGTGCAGCGAGCTTGAGTTGGTGGTCACCCAAGGCAAGTGGCAGTGAGCAGGATGACAAGGGAAAGGGCTCTCCCGTTGAGAGCATGGTTCAGCCTGGTGCTTTGATCACACTTCCGCCTCTGAGGCAAGTTGCCAGGCCAGAGATACAGAATACTTCCATAGCTGCTGGAAATCTGGATGAGGAAGGTTGGGTTACTGTCTATGGGTATGCTCCATGCTTTCATGCTCTACTTAATAGTTGATATATTGTCTAGTTGTCTACTAGCAATCAGTGGTGATTTATCTGCAATGTGGCCTCATTTTTCTGGAATAACTTCTGCTTTGGTTACTTCAGTGGTCATTATCTGCAGTCCCATTTTATCCTTATTTAATTCTCCAAAATTTGGATGTTATCTGCTTAAATGTTTTAAATAATTGCTAATATGGTTTCATTTAATATGTTCGAAAAACAGAAACTTCTTTCTTGGTTTCTTTATGTGCAATTGTGCAGCCTGTAACCTTATATCTTTTGTCCGATACACAATCTACAATCAATAACCTTCTAATATCTCAGCTGTAATTTTAACTTTTCCATTCTTGGTGATTATCATTTCTCCATGTCTGTCTGTTTTAGTTAATTAGTGTGTGGAACCTAAATGTTTGGGTTACTGTCATGGTGTTATTTTGCTGTTAATATGTATGCGAGACCTATGACTTCACTATTTGCTTTCTTTCCAGATTCTCTCCAGCTGATACAAATTTAGTTTTACGAGAATTTGAAAAGTGTGGTGTGATATTGAAACATGTTCCTGGTCCAAGGGATGCTAACTGGATGCACATTCTTTATTCAGTGAATCTTTTCTCCCTATCCTATCCTAATTCCTATCTTCTATTTAGTTCTTCCGCGTTGTCTGTAATGTTCTATAGTGATGAGTATTAGTGATATCTATAATGTTCTTTTGCGATGAGTAGTATGCGCCCTGGTTATCTCTCTTTCGATTCGTTTTTTTTTCAATGTTCATGCTGTTTTCTGTATCTGTCTAAGAAGAAGATAACCAATTTCAGAGACAAATATAAAAGTTGCTTGCTGAAAAAATTAAATAAAGAAATACATTGCTGTTTTTATAACCATGAGTCCATAACATAGTAACTTCTTTGAGTTATAAAACATTAGTTGAATAATGAACATACATTTTCTTACTCGTTCAAGCTGGACTCTAGTTATAAGCTAAATATTTTTAATGGATTTTTATTTTCTGAAACCCGAACTTGATAAGAATTGTTTGTCAACAGATGGGCTGCGATCTTTCAATTGCATCCGTATGTTTTGTTTAGCTTGTAAAGTATGGGTTATTGACATCTTGTCTCGTGTTATCCGTTTTGAGGCCAAAGACTGTTTTCTTTTTCCATGTACCTTCTGAGATATATGCCGTGTTGTATGGGAAAGTCTTAAATTCTGTTGGATTAGCCGAACTGAAAGTAGATGTATGGTATGTATAGTTTCCTGATTAAATCATATTGGTTGATGTTAAAACCAATGCATGGCAATGACTGCTTCCATCTGGTGTAGAAACGATCCGATGCTCTGAGGGCACTTGGCAAGAATGGAATGCAAATAAATGGAGTACTAATTGTTGGTGTGAAGCCGGTGGATCCAATGCAACGCGAGGCTTTAAATGAAAGATTGAATAATCAGGGTTTCCTGACTTTACCCTCAACAACAAGTAGAACATCAGAGCTGAACAACTTCCGGCCACCTCACTCATACCATCTTCAGAATGGCAATGGCAATGCACGACAGTCGGGAGGTCCTTTGGCGAGCCCTACAAAATCATTAGGTAACAAAGTCATGGAGTACTTGTTTGGATATTAGAATCATCTCCACACCTGCCCACGTTTTCATTAGGGCTCATTATGGTGCGCGTGACCGTTTTCCTTCCGGATATTCATTCCGATGACGGAACATATAATTTTCAATAAAAGTAGAGAGTTTCAATATATAATTCCATCTCAAGGAGCAACTTCTCTTACAATGAAAAGTGTGGCAGATTTAGTTGTAAATGTTTATATTTATATATACACAATTTAGACCCACATCAAGTTCTTCAACAAACTCCTACTTCTGGTTTAGTCCCCCCCCTTTTAAATCCTGTTCTGAATCCCCCATGCAGGTCTCTTTTCATCACTGTCACTGGATCAGTGCTTTCTAATCGAAACTATAAGTTAATATCGACTCGAAAATGGGACCTTTCTTGGATTCGATCTTTTGCACTTGTATTTTCATTCTGGCTGCCATTAATGGCTCTTACATGGGGATAACAATGTGGTTTCAAAGTATGACCCAATAACCCTTCTTCTTTACTGCATTCATTTCCTTTGAAAAACACCGCTATTATTATTATTTTCTTCTTTTACAATTCATAATTATAACGATAGCTTGGGGGTCAAGGAAACGCTTTAGTAGTTGTTGCTATTATTTTAGTTTTTACTCTATGAAACATATTTGTTGACAAGAGTTCTTATCTCTATATATTTATTTAATATTGTCGTAACTCAAGCGATTAAAATCAATTGAATCATAAATTGGAAATTTAATTAATTTAACTTTTGATCTGATTTTCATAATATTAACAATCAACTTTTACCGTCGGCACAAATTACTCAATCTCAGTGGTTAAAAAATTTGTTGTTATCTCTTGAAATTTTAGATTCGAGTACTATGTATGTGTATGAGGGGTATAAGAGTTCATTATTAAATGGTTGAGAGTTTTTTAATATACATTAACTTGTATTCGATTTAATCGATCCAACTTAACATGAATTAATTTCGTTAACTATATTAATCAATCAAATTATTTTAAATAAAATTTTTTAAAATAATTAAAATTATATTATATAATATAGATAAAATAATTAAAAATATTATATATTAAATTTATAAATTTAATTATGAATTTTAATAACTATTAACTTATCAATAAAATAAAATTAATAATAAAATTGTTTTAATATAAATATCAAATTAACCGAAATAAACTCAATCAAATTATATAAAATTGTTACTAATACTTAGGGTGCGTTTGGTTCACGGAATGTAAAATTACCAGTGGGAATGTAAGATTACCAGAGAATAAGATTACTGAGAATGTTGTATTTTGTGTTTGGTTGGCTTAGCAGGAATGTAAGATTATCATGTTTGGTTAAAAGAATAAAAGATTATTGGAATGTATATTTGACCAAATTGTCCATATTATATATTTATTTTTTTAACAAGTTGAAAAATATTTATATATTTTCTTAAAAAAAATTAAATTCATAAAATATATATAATTTTTTACAAAATTGAAAATATAAAAAGGTTTAATGAAAGGGTAAATTTTTTTAACCCCTGAACTTCATATAAAATTTTAATTATAGTCTTTTTTTTGTAAATCTAAAATAGTTTAAGAATAAATTTGTAATTTAACATTCGTAGAATTTTTATTATTCAATGACAGAAGAATTATATTTTTGAAAGAAAAAAAAATTAAGGACATTTTAGTCCAAAACGTCGGTAATCCAACAATACCTAAGAAAAGGGAGGTAATAACATTCCCGGTAATATACCCCAAAAAATCCACTATTGGTAATCTTGTATTACCGGGAATGAGATTTTCGGGCTAATCAAACGGGTGAATGTGGATTCCATTCCTATAGGAATCACACATTCCCCCCTCTAAACACTCAGTGTTTGGTTCAAGGATTGTGGGATTCCCATGGGATGGGAATCCCACATTCCCATGTTTGGTTGGTCGGGAATCTCATTCTCGGTAATGTTTTATTACCAATAGTAGATTTTTTGGGGCATATTATCGGGAATGTCATTACTTCCATTCCCTTAGATATTGTAACATTACCGGCGTTTTGGACTAAAATGCCCTTAAATTTTTATTTTTTTTTTCAAAAATATCATTCTTCTGTCATTGAATAATAAAAATTCTACGAAGGTTAAATTACAAATGTATACTTAAATTATTTTAGATTTACAAAAAAAATTCTATAATTAAAATTTTATATGAAATTTAGGGATTAAATTTTTTTTACCCTTTCATTAAACCTTTTTTATATTTTTAATTTTTTTAAAAAAATTATATAAATATTATGAATTTAATTTTTTAAAGAAAATATATAAATATTTTACAATTTGTAATATTATACAAATATATAATAATGACAATTTGGTTAAATATTTTCCTTTAACCAAACACGGTAATCTTACATTCCTACTAAACCAACCCAACACAAAATACAATATTCCTAGTAATCATATTCCCTAATAATCTTTTATTCCCACTGGTAATCTTACATTCCGTAAACCAAATACACCCTAAAAGAAAATAGAAAACGAAGTCCCCTCCATAATCTGGCATGGGATTTGGGCCTGGCCCATTAAAAAGTTTTGGCGGGAGATCGAATTTTTGGCTCCTAAAATCATTCGAAAAACCAGAGCATTCCCTTTATTCATCTTTCCCCCTTTTACTTTGCCATGAACAAACACTACTGACATCACCAGTTTCCAGACGAAGATCACCGATCAGCATCTGTGATGGCTCGCAGCGAGGATTTACAGATAAACACGGCGAAGCGTGCATACAGGAAAACCAAAGAGGAAGGGGATCGGCAGGAAGAGGCGAGGTGGGCAAATGTAATCGGAGATATTCTGAAGAATAGAGGAGAGTACGTGGAGGCACTCAAGTGGTTTCGAATCGACTACGATATTTCGAACAAGTATTTGCCTGAAAAACAGGTGCTCCCCACTTGTCAGTTTCTCGGTGAGATTTATCTCAGGTTCGAACACTACAAGGACGCCTTGATTTATCAGGTATTTTCCTTTCATTTTCTCTCATTTTTTGTTTGTTTGTTGATCGTTCGGTTGAGAAGAGTGGTTTTGGGGCTGGTTTGTTGACTTTATCGAGGTAATTGGTTTTCTAGGCATCGGGAGTATTTACTAAAATTTAAATGGGGGGTTTGGAGAGATATGAACCCGTGTAATATGGAAGAAAATTGTGGTTGAGCAAAGTTTTAACGAGAATTTAAGTTTTGGAAGATGAATTAGATTGTGATCTATCCGGGTGGAGAGAAAGTGCCGAAAACATAAAGTAAAATGTGGGGGGCTAATAGCAGCATAATGTAAAACTTCAATTAATCTAGTCACATTGTCTTCTGCAGATGAAAAAAAATCTTAGACCAAAAAGATAAGTTTGTATTCAGTTTGGTATTCTCAAGGATGCTCCAATAGTTAGAACTGAAACTCTAACTTGGATGTACTAGGTTCAAATCTCAAGAGTTTGAGGAGATTTCCTCCCACTTTGTAGCCGAAAGCTTAGTCTGTCTCCTAGGCACCACAAACTAAAATTTAGTTTGCTGTATTTATGATTAATGGGTAATTATTATTATTTTATTGCAGAAAAAGCATTTGGAACTTGCCAAGGATGCCAATGATCTTGTTGAGCAGCAAAGAGCCAGCACACAACTTGGGCGTACCTACCATGAAATGTTTCTGAAATCTGATGATGACCATTACTCGATTCAGAATGCGAAAAAGTATTTCAAGTCTGCCATGAAGCTTGCTCAGACTCTAAAGGAGAACCCCCCTAATAATAAGTCTTCTTTTATCAAAGAGTATATTGATGCCCATAATAATATAGGAATGCTTCAAGTGGACCTTGATAACTTGGATGAAGTGTTGAAATTTCTCACTAAAGGTTTGGAGATATGTGATGAAGAGGAAGTCATTGAGGATGATGACGCTCGTAGTAGGCTTCATCACAATCTAGGAAATGTTTATATGGAGTTGAGGAGGTGGGACAAAGCACGTGAACATATTGAAAAAGACATAATGATTTGTAAGAGAATTGAGCACCGCCAAGGAGAGGCAAAAGGGTACATTAATCTTGGTGAGTTGCATTATAGGGTTCAAAGGTAGGATGAGGCAATGCTTTGCAACCAGAAGGCATTTGATTTGGCGAAATCCATGGAAGATGAAGATGCTTTAGCAGCTCAAATTGATCAAAATATTAAGACCGTAAAGGAAGCTATAAATGTAATGAAAAAAGAAGAGAAAAATCTTAAGAAGCTGCAAAGAAACATGGTTCTTGCAAAAGAAACACCAAGTGAGCGTAAGTTTCTTCTCCTGCAGCATTCAAGTCTTGATCGTCTGATTGAGAAATCAACAATCATCTTTGCATGGCCGAAGGTTAGTACTTTGGCACATGAATTTACCTTGCTTTTGTTTCTTTTCAAGCATACTTTCATACTATTACAAAAGACGGTTTGAGGTAGCATATAATTATTACCACTATTATTTTAAATCCACCTGAAATCTGCGAATTGGACATGATTGCACAGAATTCTCAGTATGCATTCTTCTATCAATAAGTTTAAGATTAAATGATCTGCCATTGTTTTTCCTTTTTTTCTGAAAGAAGTTTTCTCCCTAATCTTGCCATGCTTAAAAAGCTGCAAATGGAAATGGGTTTGGGGAGTTTTATTGATCCGATTTCGATGTTCCTTTTTATAGTTGAATGGAATAAATAGAATGGATGGGATTGTTTTCTTCATCTCTATGACACTGTTTTCCTTGTTGTTTTATATTTTGTAAAGGACAAAACAGTTGTTAGTTTTCAGTATCAGAGCCAAAGCTGATTATTGGATTGTATTTAAGAGTTTTCATCTTAAGATCCTATTTTCAGTGAGTGATATTTTCATATGCGCTTCAGGCAGCACATTTTTGTTTATTTATTTTAATATTTTTATTATCTTAGCAGGATGTAAAATGTGCACTAATCATATGTATATTGTCTTTGAATTTTAAAGTAGGCAACGACTACCATATCTTCTTGCATATTCGACAGTCGTGCTAATGTTTTGAAAATTTATGTTTAGCATCGTGAATTTGCTAAAAGGAAGAAGCATATAGCAAGCGAACTATGTGACAAGGAAAAGCTAAGTGATGCATCTTTAGTTATTGGAGAA